GGAATGCAGAACGAACAAGCTACCACCAACCAGAAGAATTAGGGAAAGGTCAAAAAGAGAGAGGAGATGTCAGCCCAACTGTCCTACTAACCTCCCAGAATGATCCTTGCTGGAACCTCCATCTTGGCTGAGCACTGCGCAGGTTACCAGGAAGGACCTCGAGTCCAAGTGATTGGCTGGAGACAACCCGAGGCTGTGAGCCATGTTGTGGAGCAGTTCTCCTGGGTTTCCTTACTCTGCCACTCTCCACCAGGGCGCCTCGTGCCCATAAAGCCTGTTTCTTTGTCAGCACATGTGTCTCCTTGGACAGTTCACTTCCAAATGGTAGACAGAAGCCCACTCTCGGGTCCCCCTTCCTTCAACAGACTCACCCTGCACACACATCTTCCCCTTCCTCCTTCCCAGTTCAGGGATAGGAAAGTGGAGGTGGAGATGCTATTGGTGACCCTGAAGCATCAAACTACAGACTACGGATGGCAGGGTGGCAGGAGCCTTGACGAGCCCTGGTCTGGCTACCTCCGCACCTCTTTCATGCCGGGAAAATGGAAAAGCGTCTGGTTTAAGTCACTGTTCAGTTGAGTTTCTTGTTGCTTACAGTCAAATTGAGTCTATCACGAACTATGCGGTTTGAAGGATTTCTTGTTGGGAGATTCTGAGAAACCATAGAGTCGCAGGGAGACGAATTCTTTCTCGATTTTTTTGCTCTGTTTATGGTTCTGTCCATTGAGAGAGACTGATGTGACATGTACTTCTCTCTCCCTTGTGAAGAGCAACAGCTAGGTCTCCTTGGGAGGACTATCATTAGGGGGATGGATTTCAGCTGCAAGAGCATTTTCACTGAAATTTTGGCTCCACAGATAGGCAGTAATACACATATTTCCTGCATATGAAGACTATCTCCTACTAACATAAAAGCGTGAACCAAAGACTTGCCTTGCCCTATGTTACAAATGTTTTTTTCCTTCTCATGAGACAGTAATTCTAGCCCTTTTGGTGGCTATCTCTATAAATTTCCTTTGACTTTAGCGTGGAAAGGGAAATGTGTGTGTACATGTGTATACTATGTCATATGTCTTTCCAAATTGTTATGTGTCTTGTTCTAAAAATATGTGAAATAGTTCTTACATCTCAGTTTTTAATCACCGCTCAGGACTGGCCTTTGCCCAGAAAAATATTTAATCTCTAGTACTTGGCTTCTTTTCCCCTAGGTATAATTAATTCCTACTTGGATGTAATGAGTTCTCACTCCAGTTTTGAAACCCCTCCCATCCCATAATCTATTGGTAAGTCCTTTTAGTCAGTAGAAGGGTTAAATATTTGTTGAATGAGTCTATTTGTTAAACATTTATTAAACACTATTTGCAAGGACTGCACCTGGCCAAAGTGGTTGGCAAACTTTTCTATACAGGGCTAGATAGTAAATATTTTGGCTTTATGAATCAAGAGACAAAAGTGCATCTTACATTGCCACTTATGTGATTATTTAAAATATAACCACTTAAAAATGTTACTTCATACTTTACTCACATCAAATACAAATCGACTCAAAATGAATCAAAGACTTAAATGTAAGAGCTACAATTATAATATTTTTAGAATAAAACACAAGAGTACCACTTTGTGATTGTGGATTAGGCAATGGTCTTTTAGATATAATACCAAAAAGCAAGAAAAGAAAAAAATAAATATTTCACCAAAATTAAAAATTTTTGTGCATCAAAAGAAAATTATTAAGGTAAAAAGGAACCTGTGGAGGGGAAGGAAATGTTTGCAAATCATGTCTGATAAGCATTTAATAGTCGAAATATATAATGAACTCCTGCAGTCAACACAAAATACCAAATAACCCATTTAAGATTTTTAAATGGGCAAAGGACTTGAATAGACATTTCTCCAAAGATAAACCAAAGCTTGAAAAGATGCTCAACATCATTAGTCACTTGTGTGTGCATGCATGTTCAGTCATGTCTAACTCTTTGGGACCCCAATGGGATTGTAGCTTGCCTGGTTCCTCTGTCCATGGGATTTCCCAGGCAAGAATACTGGAGTGGGTTGCCATTTCACCCTCCAAGAGATCTTCCGGACCCAGGGATAGAACTCACATTTCTTGTACCTCCTGCATTGGCAGGCAGATTCTTTACCACTGTGCTACCTGGGACTTAAGCAGTGACCTTAAAAATCAGTAGCTTAAAACTGGGAATGGTGGAGGAGTATTTCAACCATGGAAATCAGCACGCATTACCAGTACCACAGTCCTGCACTGCTCCCTGATAGCCGTTTATCAGGATACCACTGGGTGGGTCGTCTCATATTCCATGAAAAGAAAGCAGGCCCCTTTTGCTAATGCTTCTCGGAGCCTGGGAACATAGCCATTGCATCTCCAGCAACTGATGTGGGCCCTGTACCCCATATGTGCCCCAACGGCAAGTGTGGGATTCCTAAGAGGCTTGGTGTCCTAGGTCAGGGGAATCTCAGAGTAGACACAAACATGGTCTTGTCAGTAGCTATGGGAGCTTCCCAGCAGCTAGGCACACAGTGTGGAATTCCAATTGCAGACTTCTAGGGTTTGCCAAGTTTCACTTGCTGTTGTTTTATCCTGGGACTCTTATCTCTAAAGATGCTTAAAATACCCACCATAGAAATATACTGGGTAAACTGAAAACAGAATGAAAGTTTCAGGGACCTTTAAAAAGTTTCAGCAGCCCATCTTAATGGGACAGGCCCATAGTCCTCTAAACTGCAAAACTCCTCCTTCAAGGCTGTCAAGGGCCAAAGCAATGTGGTCAAAGGCCTGTGCCAAAGGGAACCCCATCAGCTCTTTGCTACTATGGTTTGGTTTGATTACCCTCTTAATTAAAGAGGGTAAGCTGCCTTATTTTACCCAAGGGTTTTTGGAACAGAAAAATATCTGGCCTTTGCATTCTTGAAGAAAACAGGAAGAGAGAAAATCAACCCAGATCAGATTTCAAGTCTTGAGGGATAAGAATTCAAAGAAAATAAGAATCTTTTCAGAGTTCCCTGTGTATCTTAGATTTTAAAGAGACCCTCATTTTCTAACCAGGGCTTGTTTTGCAGGGATCTAGGAGGCGCCCTTAAAATAGACTGGGTTCAGTGCCATGCGGTTCCCTGGTGGCTCCGATGATAAAGAATCTGTCTGCAACATGGGAGACCTGGGTTTGATCTCTGGGTTGGGAAGATCCCCTGGAGAAGGGCATAGCAACCTGTCTACTCCAGTATTCTTGCCTGGAGAATCCCATGGACAGAGGAGCCTGGCGGGCTACAGTCCACGGGGTCACAGAGTTAGACATGACTGAGCAGCGAAGCAGAGCAACCACTCTGGTATTCTGCCTGGGGCATTCCACGGACAGAGAAGACACAGGGTCACAAAGAATCTAACCCGACTGAGCGCCTTTCACTTTGCAGTGCCTGTAACACCTGGACCCAAATTTTAGTTAGCCTTGGCAATGAAACAAAGGTAATGCATACATAACTTAAGAGAACAACCAGAAACCTACCCTTAACCACGGCCTTTCACTCTCCAAACCTGATCAACACTTCAGTAAAGGCTTTAAATAAATACAGAGTAGCTGATGAACATGGAAATGACTCAGAATCAGACAACAAAAGAAAAATAAGACGCTGGCTAACTATAGAAGTTGCTCTGTACACATTGTCAAATGAACCACTGTTGTTCCTTGTGTCAAGTTCTACTCCCGCCTCTTTGCTCTGGTTGAATTGGCATATCAAGAGGAGAAACTGCTTATGACATCCTAAGAGAAAAACGGGAAGAGGCAGGGAAGATGAAGGGCCAGGCAGAGCAGCTCTCAACAACTCTTTTATTGTTTCCAGGATAGGTCAGAAAAAAACCTGACTGGGCAGGCTTGCCCTAGGAGTTGAAAGGTCAAGTTAAAATGTTTGGCTCAAATAATATTCAAAGAGTTCCTGTCTTTTTCTGTGCGTGGAGGGGTCTTCAAGATGATGATAGAGATGGACCAAAGGTGAGGTCCTGGTGGGTCAAAGCCCAACCAGAGTGAGGAGTGCTAGGGGTCCTGCTCAACACCCCTGTTTCTGGGCAGAGAGGCTGTGAGACCTATCACTCCAGGCCTGTACTAATAATGACAGTCCCCAGCATGCCATTTCCTTCATAGGAAAATCCAAAGAGAAGGGACACCATCGGCTGAAAATAGTCTCTAAAACACGGAAAGGACAGCAGAGCCTTAAAACTAAGGCTTTAAGTAAAAATGACACTTTCTTTTCACAAGTATATGGACAGAATATGATTTTAAAAGATACAAAATTCCATAAGCAAGGATTGGGCTGCCAAATACAAAAACCTTATCATAAGTAGCAGGAGTCTCCTGTTACGGTTTCACGTCCCTCCATACACGGCAATTTTCTGGAAAGAACTTGCCGCTATCACCCCAACTTCACAAAATTGTTAGAAATAGAAAAGCTAGATTTCAGCTCCTCTCAAAAGCCTTTATGTATGTTTCTAAAAGTCACAGTCTTAAAGGACATCTACCTCAGGTCCTTTTGTCACGTGGAGTGGACCTTTCACTCCCAGGCCTGAGACGGGAAACTCTAAGCCAAGCCTCTGCCTGTGAGGCCTGCATTCTTTCTCTGAAGAGACGGCCTCAGGTGAAGACAGGTGGCTTGTTATAAGTCTTTATTGAGCAGCTATTTAACCTTGTTTTAACAAATTGCTTGCAACCTAAATTAGGGCAAGATTTTTAGAAAAAGAAATTTGATAAATACTATCAATATAAATGTTTCCACTAAAGAAGTTGGATATTTCTGATTATATTCAGAAAGGAAATTCTTTTTTATTTGTTTAAAAACTATTGAACCTGTCTACTTTGGGAAGTGGATATGCATCATACAGTGCTTTAGAGAAGGAACGATTGATCCCAATACTCCTTATCATGCAAAAACATTTTGGAGAGGCTTAGGCAACTTCAAGAGAAGGAAAACTCAAGAATGAAGAATACTGAGTTACAAACTTATGGCCAAAAATACTGTATTTTTAACCAGCAAGATCATTGGGGCATTATTATACAACATTAGGTGTTTTTTTTTTTTTGCAAAACTAGTTCCCATCCCCAAACAATAGACAATACATGCATTTGAATGACATTTTAAGAACAGTAAATATGATTCTTTTAAATACTGCAAGTTAAAAATGTTTTCTGACAAAACTCCCTAAATACATAAGTCTAGGAAGGGTTTCCAACATGATGACAGGTGAGGAATCCAGCAAGTTGCATTTAGAGTTCTTTGAGGAAAAGAAATCCACCAAAAACATGTGTTTCAGTCAAAGTAACCTGAACAAAGTTACATAGTAATTTTCCATCTTTCTTTTCTAAATTTAAAAATGTTCTACTGAAGAATATCTTCCTCCCTGTTTTTTTTTTTTTCTGTCTACCAAAGCTTATATGGAAGTTAGAATTCCTTCATCCAAGTCAGATCCAATTTTACCCATAGATGTTTTCATAACGTGTAAATGTTGTTTACTATTGGGTTGGAATCATACAGGGAAATGGAGGTTACATGATAAGGGAGGTAAGAAGAAAATTAATACTTGAGCACCTACTATGTGCTAGGTGTGTATGCATACTTTGAACAGATGATTCTAGAGGCAAGAGGGTTACTGAAGAGCATTGGTAGTTGAGACAGCAAGAAATTGTTATTCTGTGAGAAAAACAAATGGCAACTTTATACTAAGTATCTACGAAGCAGGTGCCTGGCTCCAAAAATCTCTAGCTAATCGTATACAACTAAGCCATTTCTTTTCCTAAAGTGATGGAATCAAAATGAAATCCCAAAGACATAGTTACCAGGACAGATCTATTAATGCTACATATGCTGGAAATATGTAGAGATAGATAAACATACAATATTACTAGTTTTAATTTTTGTGTGTTTCTAACCAAAGAAAAATCTTTGGAAGAAAATATGTATACCAAGCACAACTTATCTGTCAATTGAGATGTTGTCAATTACCAATTAAGTGGTTTTAAACCCTTATTTAATTTTAAGAAGAGCAGCAATATACGTTACAATATTTGGGTACACTTTATTTTTATATGGGTTAACATTCTGCTATATTTCATTTCATTCATTCTTTTTGAGAAACTGAAAACAAAGGGAAATTGAGGGTAACTTGAAGATTATTTCCAACCAGTATCTGAGTCTTGCAGTATCTCATTATGCAGCCCTTTCTTCCCATTATTTTTATATATTTTTTTGCAAATAATAGTCATTTTTGACCCATATCCAGCATAAATAGCTTTTCACCCATTACTAACTTAAGACAACTAAAATTTACAATCATGTGGCAGTATAAATTTTAAAATTACAGTTCGTACACCTTGACAATCAAGATAGTCTGAAGTACAAAAAGTAAATTGTCCTTTAGCTGAATTACCTTTTTAAATATTAGACCTGCTAGCTAATCTACAAAAAATTACAAGTTTCGGTGTTCTTCAAATACCTTTTGTAGATGTCATCTGCTAGTAAACAACATATGCAGGTTTCTAGAATATTTTCTCCCCCACTCTATTCATGACATTCAACAGAGCTCTTTATATGAAAATGGATCGAAAAACAAACACTTTGAGGGGAGTTATTTACTTTTGAATGGGTGTGTTATTTCCCTTTGTTTCAGATATGAGGCACAGACTTCTGAATTTAAGCTCTGTAAGGCATAGTACAAACCTCCAATTTACAAACAAGGGATTCTCTGTGGGTTGGAACTGCCATGTCACGCAAAAAGGGCAAAATCATCTGTAAACTAGTACACTGCAATGTGTTAAGTGAGTCATGAGACGGCTGCTTGCCTTGGTCTGCGGAAGAAAGGTTTCTGTGTTTTTGTTTCTGAATAAGACATGCCCAAGTCACCACGCAACTTGCCACAGGCCTCCGTTACCGAGAGCATCAAGAGGGGTCCAGCGGCACACGCTCGGAACGCTTGCAATCACAATAATACAAAGCATGAGTAAACTTCATTTTTATACAAAACTGAAAAGAATCCCTTCCCACCCCAGCCCCTCAGTAAAACCCCAAAGAAACAAAAAAGAAAATCCTTTAGCTTCAATTGACTAGTGTGGATACAATTCGGTTTCTATGTATCACTGTAACTAGGGTGATCAATTTTTTCCCTTCTGAAGAAAAGGGATCTTATCATGCACCCTAAAATGAACAGTGAAACCACAAACCTCAATTCTGCATAGCAATTCCATCCCAATTTCATGAAGACAAATATAACAATCTTTCCCTGTTTTGCTCAGCTTCTTGGAGCTCTGAGATCAGGTTTAATTGACTACATCTACTATAGCTCTATTAAATAGAATATCCTGATTCCCTAAAACTGTAACACTTATGATCTTGTGATGAGGTTTTCGCTATACACACTGTAGGCCTTCAAATGTTGTTTATACTTTTTTTTTTCCTTTTTTTTTCTTTTTTTTGTTTTGTTTTTTGCTGCACCAAATTTAAGATCGCCCTTTCAGGCAAGCAGTGGTCGCTAGCTATTAAAACATTTCCTTAGTGGATCACAATAGCTTCTAAAACTGCCTTTCTAATAAAGGCCATCAGAGAGGTAATACTAAACTGTGCATTTGCCAAATAAGAATATGAATTGTATAAAAGTTCATATTCCAATCCTAGGTCAAATGGCAAAAGTTCTACAAAGTTGGTTTCCATGTTTGTATAAAAGCTCCAACTGATTTTATGTATTTTGCTTATGAAATTACCTTTGGGTCTTATAATCAGTATACCTCTACTTAGGAATGTGCAAATGATTTTATATAGCACGATGCTAGTACCGCTCTGTTCGATAGTAAGGTTTTTTTTTTTTTCTTTTCTAAATGGAAAAAAAAATCCCTAGTCAGAAATAAACTGACAAATTTACATTCTCCTCTCTTAAAAAAGTAAATAAAATAACATTATTCAAAATGTGAATTAGCTATGAGACATACAATACAATTACATAGATACATATCAATACAGCACATTCAATCTGCCAAAAAATTAATGATTACAAAGCCAGTATGGATGATACAATATCAAGAGAGAGATGTATGTACAATGATTAGAGCATTCATAATTGCACTATACCTACAGGCAGTCTGTTTCTTAATTAAATTACAGGTGCTTTCTGAATAAGGAGAGAAAAACCAGGTAACCTGTGTACTTTGAGTCTGGCAGAGTAAAGAATGGGAACATTCCATTATTATTGAATAACTCTGGTACTCATCTGATAAGCCATTAATTTTCTTTCTCCTTTGTTGTTCCAAAACAGTGATTTACATAAAAGATTATAGACTCCTGCCAAATAGTATTGTAGTAAAATTAGACCAGGATCATGGCCTAATTCTACCTTCCCAGCAGGTTTAAACCATCATGATTTATTTTCTTAAATTATATTTCAATTCAAGCTGCTTGACAGAAGATCATCAATACATGTGCTGTGTTTTTTGCATTGGTTGAAAAATTGCACATATAGAATTCTAGATCTCTCTCCTACTATGTTCAGTTACATAGATACACATTTTATAGAACAGAGAGGTTACTTTTGAGTTTCAGTCCACAAATCTTCCTTAAGTTCAACTCAATCAGTCACCAGTTTAAGATCTCAAAGATGGTAAACTAGCAGTAACTTCAGAGTCTGCAAATTAAAGGTGTCAGAGTAATAGTATTGACCAATGTTTTTGGCAGACCTACTTGACCTTAAAGAACACAAAGAGAGTAAAACTGGCTTCAAATGAAAAGATAAAAGCAGATTTCATGGGGTATCACACAAGACAGCTTTTCCACATTGCTGATTTAGACACTCAACATGGAATGTGGACACTAAACAATGTGATTTAAGGGCAAAGAAAAGGATGGACTGTAAGAATGAAATTTACAGTGACCAACAGTTTGGCAACTGATGTTTCAGGTTCACTCTTAGCACAAGCATTTTAGGCTTCACAGTCTTACTCTCTTACATTTTAAGGTACTGGCTTTTATCTTTTAAGCTCTCATTAATTTTTTTTTTCAAAGCCAGCTTTGGCAACACATATCCATAGTTAAAAGTCATTTTAAAATTGTGGAATAAACACTAAGGCAAAAAAAAAAAAAGGGGGGGGAAAAGTTTTTGGGAAAACAAAAATTAAGAGCAACCTATAAGAAGGATCTGGGCAGCAGCCACTGGGATAATGTAGTGTCTGTTGGCATATTTTTTTGGCATCTGCAATTTGAAGAAAAGAGGGTGGAGAAAAAAATGGCAAGAAATGGAGGAAGAACAATGGCACATGATATTTCAAAAGGAAGAACTCCTGTGTGTCTTGGCCCGTGCTTTACTGACTTCTATATGGTTTGCTGAGCAACCAGTTATGGCTGAAGATAAACTTCAAAAAAAACCAAAAATAGCAAGACACTTAACCATTAAACAGGCATCCACTGTCCCAGCCCAAAGTGAGGCAAGACAATATATTTATATAAAAAGACCTCTATATGTGTATCCAGAGCAATACATTTAAAACCACAGTATTAATACTTATGATCCTTCAGCAAAAACCACAAACTGTTAAATTCAGCCGAGTCGATGGCTTAAATGAATGACATTGTCCTGACTGTATCATCTGAGAGGAAAACTTGACCAAGAATGGAACTAGGATAAAGGCCATTGTAATGTGGGAAAAATCAAGAGGAAGGGATGGGTTGGGAAAAGGAAAATCAACTTCATTTTGCTTAACAGAAAAGAAAGAGAGAGAGAGAGAGGAAGAAACAGCTCTTATTTTTGTGAGTGCATGACTGAGAATTTAAAATACATTGAGTCACAAGATTTTGCCTAAAAAAAAGAGAGGAAATGTGCTGGGACTGTACTTCAGCATCCTGTTTTTCCTCTGAATAGTTTAAATAAAATCATAATATTTACTACAAACTCTGTGGACACGCTCACAGAGTCCAGGGCGGCAATAAATTAGTATTATGCAAATTGCTTCCACAGAAATACAGTCCCTCTTGTTTAGCTTCACTAGCCCACCAGGGGAGGGAAGGGCGGCGTCGAGGAGGCACAATTAGACCAGATTGTACTCCTTGAGGTTCAACTGGAGGATGGTGTCCTTGACAGCAGCGAACACAAAGCGGATGTTCTCGGTGTCTGTGGCGCATGTGAAGTGTGAGTAGATGATTTTGTCACTGTCTGGGTTCAGGTCCACGAACATCTTCAGGATGAATTCTCGAGCTGCCTGGGCATCTCGCTGGGGTCCTGTTGGCCAAGGGAGAACAGGGACACTTGTCAGCTAGCTGATCTGTTCATGCATTTGCTCAATGTTTACTAAAGCTCATGAAGGCCTCTTCACTGCAGATCTGATCTGTTAGAAGCATCTTCCCCAACACGACTATGTGTCATGGTTCCTCTTTCTCACTTTCACTGCCCATCCATCCATCTCCAAGCATCCACAGAATGTGATCTTGTGAGAACAGGCAGGTAGCGTGAAGGCCAGGCTAGGTTTAGCTCTGATTCTTTGGGACGCAAGGAGCTACTGCAGAATCTTCAGATAGGGATGTGATTAGCTTACTTCTGGTTGGATTCAGTTAACTGTGCTGGTTTCAGCTGCATAACAAGTGTGCATATAACTGCCTCAAGCTCTCTCGTCAATTTGCCCCCTGTGCTCCCCACCCAACCTGCTCCCATTTCTGTATCAATCATTTTACAGTCTCCAGACTGAAATCTAAGAATAGAAAACCTGTTTCTTAACCTATGGTCTGTCTGCAACTGTCCTCTGCGGGCTCATTTCTGGTGTTTCTGATAAAAACCACATTTACGTAGAATTTAATTCACTACATGTGATGATTAAAAAAAGCTGGTTTACGTTTTCTTACATTTATCCAGGGTCTCTTATGTACCAAGCACTGTCTTAGATGTTCTTAAAAAGGATTATGATACATTTATCAGGATATATTAAGAACTTATTTGATAATTTTGCAATAGATTCTTAGATATGATACCAAAATCACAGGCAACAAAAAAGAAAACAGATCAATTGAACTTAATCAAAATGAAGAGCTTTTGCACATCAAAGGACATTATTAAGAAAGTAAAAAGACAACCTACACACTTGACTGTACAGCAGGAACTAACACATTGTAATTCAACTATACCTCGATAAAAATAAATTTAAAAAAGAATTACAAAAAGAGGTAACCTACAGAATAGGACAAAACACTTGCAAATCATACATCTGATAACAGATAAATATTCATAATATACCAAGAACTCCTACAACTCAACAATAGAAAGACAATCCGATAAAAGATGGGCAAGGGATTTATATAAACATTTCTCCCAAGAAGATATACAAATGGCCAATAAACACATGAAAAGATGCTCGTTATAAGCACATGAAAAGATAAACATTATTAACTATTAGAGAATGCAAATCAAAACCACAATATGATACCACTTCACATCTACCTGAACGGCTATAATCAAATCAAGTGGAAGATAACAAGTGTTGGCAAGCATGTGGAGGAATCTGAATCCTTGTTTATTGTTGCTAGGAATGTAAAATGGAAAACAGTTTAATGGCTCCTCAAAAAGCTAAACACAGAACTACCAGATGAACCAGCAATTCTATTCCTAGGTATCTACCCAACCCAAGGATCCATCAACAGAGGAATGGAAAAACAAAGGGGAGTATATACAGACAGTGGAATATTATTCAGCCATAAAAATTAAATTCTGACAGATGCCACAACATGTATGAACCCTGCAAGCATATCAGGTAAAATGAGTCAGACAGAAAACAACATATACTGCACGATTCCACTTAGGTGAAGTGTTGAGAAAAGGCACGTTTATAGAAAGCAGATTAGGATTTAACAGGGGTTAGGAGGAAGGGAAAATGGGGAGATATTGCTTAATGATCATAGAATTTTGGGGGGCAATTATACAGTTTTGGAAATGGAGATGGCTGCTCTGCACTGTGAATGTAATTATAGTATCACTGAACTGCATGCTTAAAAATGGTTAAAATGACAAAATTTCACATTACATGTATTTTACCATAATTTATGAAACTAATGACACATATAAAAAAGAATCAAGTGATATGCTTTAAATGGATGAATTATATATTGTATGTGAATCATATCTCAACAGAGCTGTTTTAAAAACATAATAGGCCCTGGTAAATATGTTAATTTAAAACTTGTTGTAAACTAAAAGCAATTCCAAAACATTACCACCTATCAAGGACTGAGCACTTTCTTTCTTTTTTCTTTATATAATTTATTTCATTTTCTGTCATTCTAGAATGAGCACATTTCTTATATGCATCTTTGTGGCCCTATGCATCTGAATTTCTCCCATTTTCCAGTTAGCTCTATACCAAGAAAGAGGGATAAGCACTATAACCTGCATTCCTCCTCTCTCAGAAAACCCTCTTGGGATCCACAGCTTAGACTTTTTTTTTTTAATCAATGTTGTTATTTACCGGTTGGGATAAAGAAATCTTTGACAATTCTACTGAGGGTCTACAGATTCTAACAAAATACATGGTAAGCTTCAGAAAGCCAACTTAAAAACTTTTCAAACCAACCTTATAAGTAAATAAGCTTATATCCAACACTGCCAGACAATGGGAGGAAGAGTCTTGAAAGCAGATTATTCTCACTTGCACAGCTTACAAAAGGGAGGTCTGAATTTATGACTTAGCCCAGATATGAAATTGTCGATGATTAAGACTGGCACCATACTGAATTAAAGAGTGCCCAGTTAAAAATATGTGAGACAAATTCTTTAGTGTCCTAGCTTATTTAATATATTATTGTTAACGTAATTCCATAGTAGTGATTGTTGTCATTATTCCGTAGGTCGGTCATGTCCAGCTCTTTGTGAGCCTGTGGACTGCAGCACACCAGGCTTCCCTATCTTTCACCATCTCTCGGAGATGGACTAATAGATTGTTAGAACTGATGCAGTCTTTCATTTTCATAAAAGAACATTATCTTTCTGGCTTGCGAATGTACTTTTACTTGTTCTTGTTGGGAAACAAAAGTCTATTCTTTTGACTCTTTTTTTTAAAATTCTAAAGTATATCAGAACAATACTCAAGTTCACCAAAGAGCACTTGGGAGTCTGCTATGCTTTTAAGCATAATTTGTTATCTGAATAAACATAAACTACAAAGAAACCATTATGGCCATCATGGCAGGAACAAAAATCCCATCGTCTCTATGAACAGTTTTGCAATTCAAGTCCATGTGGAAATGATAATTTTCCTTCCTGAAGAGAAATAAAGAAATGACACTCATTATGATTCAGACCTTGTAAGTACAGAAATGTGGAAGTGTGGAATTGATAATACTATGAACATGTGTATTGTAAACGCATCACTGCAGAGTTGGCCTAGAATTTTTCCTCTCAGCTCATCTTACATGGGCCTGAAGTCTCCTGGAATGACAGCTGCATCTGCTTTAGGAATAACTATCGGTGTCTTTTATTCTTTTTCCACAGACAAGTTTCCTGTATGTGCAGTGTGTGAGACCAGGGAAGATGGACAGTAAAAAATCTTCAGATTTCACAACATTCACAGTGGGCTCATGGAGGAAGGAAGATGCTCTTACTTACAGGGATGGGGAATCTGGGGAACTCGCCGGACAAAGGAGATACGTAAGAAGAAGAGGAAGAAGGCGCACAGAGAAGGAAGAACCGTACTCCAACACTTGCTGCAGGAAGACCAACCCCGGTGTGCTGTTGTGTGTGCTGAGTGTGAGCCTTGGGCCTTGGGGGTCTGCTCTGTGCTCTGTCTGCTGTCATCCCAGAAGTATGCACGTTCTGAAAACATGCTGCCTACAGGCTTGTGCTATGTCGGGGGGGTGGTCATGTCTCATTCATGGATTTTCACCCAATTCTGAGAAAAATGAAAATAAGTCTCCCCTTCCAGGAGCATAAGGCAAGCGTGTGTGTTGGGTGGTAAGCCGGGCGCTCCGTGCCCATCTTTTTTGGGCTGGTCTCATGTTTAAGGACTCAGCCTGTTGCTGTGGGAGAGAACGAGTGCTAGGTTACCTCCTTCCACCGTTTGCTCAGGAGCGCTGAGGACCACGGGCTTGGGCATCTGTGACTCGGTGGCAGGCTAGTGGCCAAGTAAAAGGAGAAGAGAATAGGCTGGGCAAGTGTTTGTTTTTAAAGGAGCCTCAAAGCACAAAGGAAAAGCTACTTGGACAGAGGATGGGAACACCTTGCTGACAAAACCAGTATGATAACATCCCTACACGTGAGAATCCTATGTGCATCTGAAAAGGAACTTCAGTTCATCAACATGTAACGTTTCCCTTCCAAGAGCAGTACCGTACCACACGCACGTGTGATGGAAGATGAGTGAAACTCTACCCTCGATGTGTTTGCATCTCGGGGGAAGGCTATGAGGCCAAGCTGAGTACTAGTTTTGAAGCAATTACCTTTCTTAAGGAGTTCGTAGAAGTACAAAAATGGTGCTGAGTTGACATACACACCAGAGAGCGGATGCTGATAAAGTATTTTTTAAAAATAGCCCGTTCTCTTGTTGCACCTCTGTAATAGGTACTTTTGGGTTTGTGTTCTTCTGTCTGCCAGGCACTGAGCCACGTGACCTACATACGTGATTCCATTCAATTCTTTTTCATGCAGGAAACTGAGGCGTTACACTTGACTGAGGCACCACTGCCGGTGAGTGGCAGAGCCGGTACAGTACTGTGTGACATTCAAAGTCTGTCCTCTTACCTACTATTTACTTAGATCTGGGTTTGGCAAGCTCTCTCTGTTTAAGGAGCACAGAGTAAATATTTTGAGCTTGTGGGCCACTTGAGCTCTATCACAACCACTTAGTTCTGCTGCTGTAACATAAAAGCAGCCAGACGGCATATAAAGGAGTGGGTGTGGCTGTTTCAGTACAATTTTAGTTATAAAAAGAGGCAACGGGCCATCGTTGTTTAGTCATTCAGTCATGTCTGACTCTTTTGCGACCCCACCAGGCTTCTCTGTCCATGGGATTTCCCAGGTGAGAATACTGGAGTGGGTTGCCATTTCCTTCTCCAGGGGATCTTCCTGACCCAGGGATCAAAACTGAATCTCCTGCTTGGCAGGTGGATTCTTTACCACCAAGCCACCTAGGAAGCCCACAGTTAGCCACTCCTAATCTAGACTCGAGCATGTGTGGGGAGCTGAGTGTGGGTTCTGCAGGTAAGTTCTTCCAAGGCAGTGGTTGTGACTCTTTCACCTGTTTGAGAGTGGCTGGTATGGATGCATTTTGTTACCAATCTCTCAGCAAGTAATATTTCTCTGAAGGGGCTGGGTATTGTGCTCAGTCATCCAGGATTTCAGTCTAGTTGAGGAGGCAAGATCTGTTATAAGAAGGAAGTAAATAATGCAAAGTACATATACAGGAGTCCCAAAGTGGGTGTTACAGGCAGGGTTTAAAAGACGGGTGTCTTCTCTCAGGATGATGAGGCTTCATGGGGCCCATGAAGCCCTCCGAAGAAAATATCTGTGTCAGGCATCATGCTGAAATGTCACACTTATGTTATCTATTCCAGTCAACAAAAGTTTGGTCCTAGAGCCCAAAGCAACTAACTTACTCAATCAAGGTTTACAAATACAAAGTATCAGAACTGGGACTTGAAGCTGATAGATCCCGACTTCAGACCATGGGCTCTTGACCACAAAATTCTGTTTTCTCTCCAGAGAGAGGGAGAGGCAGACTGTAAGGAAATGAAAGGGAACTCAAGAGGGAATGAGAATGGTTGATATACAGGCAAAACTAGGGGATGGTTTCCTCCTCTGATATAAAAGAAAGCTTCTTATATATTTTGAAGTAAGTGTAACTTTCATCACTGTTGGGAAGTGAAACATTTCAGGTCATTGAAAGACAGGACAAACAATGATTCATACTCCATCAGTTACCAATACGCAGGCTTCTGAGGCACTGAGGGAGTATGGGAATGTGTCAGCTCTGGCCCTGGCCTCAGGAGGTGGGATATTTCCTTGGCTAACGCACTGCCTCAAGAGCGCAGACTTACCATCGTATTCCGGGAAGTAGTCAACTAGGTGGGAATACATAATTTTCTCCTCTAGAAGATCTTTCTTGTTTAAGAACAGAATAACTGAGGAGTTCTGGAACCAGGGATATGTGATAATTGTTCTAAAGAGTGCTTTGCTTTCCTCCATCCGGTTCTGAAAAAAAAAAATCGTCAGAAAAACAAGGCGTGAATTACATGATCACTCAGTCTGGGAACTGTTTGCTTTGTAAGTCCACCCATCTTTGGTATGCATTCAATTTCTGTGGCCTTGGGCTGAGCTTCCATGGCATCAGGGTTTACATGCAAAAGGCTCAGCAGCTCTTTTCATTAGGCAAACTCTCAGGCTGACAAGCAGAAGAGAATAATAATAATAAACATCCACTGGTACAACTTTTAAGGTAGAAAAAGAATCATCAAAGCCCAGAGAATCAAGTTGTCCCTGGTGCACTGTCACGAATGCCCACCAAGAATTATTCATTCGTGGCCAAATACTTAGGATCTGTACCAAAAACTAAGCAACAGGCTTCATTTTGCATTTCTTAAGCTATATGGACTAGGGACTTCACAATTAGTTCTATTACATAACAGTCAAAACAAAGTTACTTTATTCTTTGCCCAAAGTGCATCAATATTTTTTAAAGTATTACTTTTTACTATACAAATAACACATGGAAAAATATTTTTAGATCACACATTTCCTATTTATCAGAACACACTGTCTCCTTAAGTTTCACTAATTTTCATACATAACTGTGGGCCTATACATAGTAATTAGTTGGAGATATAAATGTAATATTGCTCACCACCTTCAGTGTTTTCAACTGAAGCTATCTATCAAGTCAGCCTAGGTAACAGAAAACCTCAATGAATTCTTAAGGAATTAGTCAGCCTGCTCTTACAAATGAAGATGTTTCCAGGGTACTTCTGACTTGGGTGATCACTCACCAGCCAAAAGCTAGACAGCCTCCTTGCTTAGCCCACATCTATTCACCAGCTCTTCCTTCTATAGACACACTTGCTTCTAAATCATTCCCGTCCTCGGGTCACAGACTGAGGTGGCAGATTTGGAGAATCCTCCTTGGGCCTGCTTTTTCTCAGACAGCAGAGAACAATCTCCATCCCCGTCTTGGTTCTATGTGTTATGACCAAGTCTGGGGCAATGGAAAAGCCTGCTGAGGATTGAGCCCACGTCTACTGCCAACAGGTGGCTCAATGGTTTAAGCCAGAGGATCCTATTCAAGAAGTGGGTTTGATCCCTGGGTCAGGAAGATCCCTTGGAAAAGGAAATGGCAACCCACTCCAGTATTCTTGCCTAAAGAATCCCATGGACAGAGGAGCCTGGCAGGCTACAGTCCATAGGGCACAAAGAATCAGACATGACTTGGCAACTAAACAAATAATCCTATTCTCCTGGTACCTGGGGTGACTCAGGGCTGGGCTCTGAATCCAGGTTCCTGTCACTTGGACTATTGCTTCGCTTGTTTTTTGGTTACCAGTGTAGCCAAGCTGCTCAACCAGTCCAGTTAAACTCCAGGATTTTTGCCAAGAGCTTTGGAACAGAGAACCAGCTTTCATGAAAAAAGTGGAAGACGCAGCGTGTAGCCTTGAGCTTCCAGCAACCATTTTGAAACAGGAAGAAAAAGAAACTAGATTTTAACTTCTTGGTCAAACCATGCCAAAACCTGGTGATGCTTCTGCATTTTGTAGTAACATCAACCAATTGAGTACTCTTTAGTTTTTAAGCTAGTTTGAACTTTAATTTTTCTGGATCTTATTATATATAAAATACTTCTCAGAGAAAAACAATATATCATTTATATGCAGAATCCCCCCCAAAAATGATGCAAATGAACTTCTTTACAGAACAGAAACAGACTCGAAGACTTTGAAGAAGAATGCTATTTATAACTGAATCACTTTGCTGTACATCTGAAGCTAACACAACATTGTTAACTCTGGTTCAATATAAAATAAAAAAAAATTTAATGCTTCTGATTGATATAGCTGGATCCACTTCATTCTCAAATTTCTAAAAGGAAGTGAATGAAAGATGCTTGAAGGCTGACCTTGAAGACTAAGGGTTCAAAGCTGTTAACACATTCTGCTCAGCCTTTGCCTTCCTGATGCAGAACGTGCCCTGAGTTTCACAGTTCAGCCTGATAGAGGCCAACTACACTCTTCTGCATTCCCCTATGATTGCTGTTCCAGACAAAGTTCTGGGAAGTTGAGCTCACCAAGAAATTTCCTATATCCTGAATATATCTTGCTCTTTTCTTCTATAAAGTGTTCCAATTCAAATCAAGTTGAAAAGGTCTCCTGTTCAAAAGGAGACCTTTACCAAACCTGATAAAGTCCACCACCAATCGAAATTGCGCAGAATGCTGTGGGTTCCTGGTCATGGAAGCCTTCCTCTGTCCCCCATTTCTTGTTTGTAGGAAACGGGTTTCGGCTTCCTTGCCTTCCCTTGGTTTTCAAGGGGCGGTTTCAACCGGTTGTTATTCGGGGAGTTGGGGGTTGCGGTTTTGGGCCGGGTTCTTGTTTCGGCTTCGGGGGACACATAACAATACCTCTGAGTTTGTCTGCAGAACTAAAACCCCCAACAAATGAAAGATATTAACTACTAGATGAAACATGCTTCATTCCAGAGAACAGGTCACAGTTGGGATAAACCCCAGAATCATAGAAGCTTATCAGGAGACCACCTGAGGCCAGATGAAAGGAGTGCAGGTCCTGCACACACCCTGATCCTCACCAGCAATCCCACCCTGAACACTGCTATAAAACTCCTCACCAAGTCCCCCTGGGTTGGGACATTCTGTTCTGAGGGCATGGGTCCCCTGTGTCCCCCTTTGCCTGGAAAAGCAATAAAGATATTCTTTTCTGTTTCATTCAAAACTGTCTCTGAGATTCGATTCGGCTCTGGTGCACAGAGGCCAAGTTTGCGGCATCACAATCTCTTTACATTTACACCTGTGCCTACTATTAGATAATTACCATTATCTAATCTACCATTAGTAATTAAATATGGAGGGATGGGTTCCTTCAAGGGACAGTGTTTATTTCACAGCACATATTTATCTTTAATATAAATAAGATGCACAGCCTTGAAAAACAGTATTTTTACAATCTATGTGCCTTTTATGGATTGTCATCACCAGCAACAAAATTTTAAGCCTGGAAACAATATTCACTAAGAAATGATCTCTTGTAGCCTAAGATTTTACAGGTTGAAAATTTCATGACTGCAGGAAAGCAAAGGCACTAATAAGCACTGAAAGAATTAAAGGATCTAAAGACGGTTGGTTAGATAGTGACATCCCTGATGGAAGAATTAACTTTTTTTTTCTTACTTACAGTTACAGCAATTCCAGAAAACCATACTGTGGCCTTCAGAGAAGTCATGTCTAAAGAGCGGGTATGTACACCTTGGCCTCAACCAGGTAGCCTCCATCTGAAAGACTTATCACTGTGATTAGCACACTCCAGAAGGGGTATGATGGGGACCCCAGGGGAGGGTCCTACTGGGATCTTTCTTAGGTTGAAGTCTAAGAGTAAGTGGTTAGACCCTGGGTAGAGACAAGAAAGGGGAGAGGAGTGGTCCTGACTTTGAGTTCATGCACAAGGAGGCACCTGAGGTCTCTGATTAAGTTTCAAGCCAGGACTGGATCTCCCGAGCTCCAGATGGGGTCTACTGGAAGGAGGCCTCACACTAGGACACAGCGAGGACAGTGGACTGTGCCCAGCCCCGGGTCCTAGAGACGTCTTGTGGTGGTGGCTGTCTCTCTGTGCCCAGGGCTGCTGCACCCAGGGCCATGGTGGAGGTGAGCCTGCTGACTGGCCTGGTCCCATTAAAGCTTTGCCAGTGTCTGCAGTCTGGGGTTGTTCTAGGCTGTTTTCCAACTTGGCAAATGCTGTGTGGCCTTGGCAGGAGCTTCTCACTCAGGGGAAAGCTAAAGAGCAGCAAAGTGGGTGGCTGATCAGCAGCATTAGCACCCATATACCTCCAACCAGATCTACCAAACTCAATCTCAGGGACTTGCCTGGTGATTCAGTGGTTAAGACTCCATGCCTCCAATGCAGTGGGCATGGGTTCAATCCCTGGTCAGGGAACTAAGATATCGGATGCTGTGCAGCACTGCCAAAAAACAAAAAACAAAACAAAAAAACCCCCTCAACCTTCGGAGGTGAGCCCTAGGAATTTACATTTTAGCAGGCCCTCCAGGGGATTCTGATGTAGGCTTAACTTTGGGAAGCACTGTGATGGAGGTGGGCTTCTCCAAATTAGCATGTGTTATGAATCACTTGGGGACACGGGCTGTGACTCAGCTTAGGGTGGGACCCAGGAGCCTGCATTTCTAACAAGCTTGGCGGTGAGGCTGATGCTGCTGACACACAGCATGCACTTGGAGGTGGAAGGTTCAGAGAGCTTGCTGAGCTTTAGGGACCACAGAGAGAAACATGATGCTCTGTCCTATTTTCATGATAAGAAGTGCCACTCGCACATTCAGCCCAGTGCCTGAGTTGTGTGATGAAAATCTAACCGTGCTGGCTTCCTGCTTTTTGTCTCTCCCAAGAAACATGATGCTCTGTCAACCTTATGGCAGAAAGTGAAGAACAAAAGAGCCTCTTGATGAAAGTGAAAAAGGAGAGTGAAAAAGTTGGCTTAAAGCTCAACATTCAGAAAACTAAGATCATGGCATCCGGTCCCATCACTTCATGGCAAATAGATGGGGAAACAGTGGAAACAGTGTCAGAATTTATTTTGTTGGGCTCCAAAATCACTGCAGATGGTGACTGCAGCCATGAAATTAAAAGACGCTTACTCCTTGGAAGGAAAGTTATGACCAACATACACAGCATGTTAAAAAGCAGAGACATTACTTTGTCAACAAAGGTCTGTCTAGTCAAGGCTATGGTTTTTCCAGTGGTCATGTATGGATG